GATCAGTGGTATAGTAATGCCACCTTACCAACTTGAAAGTGGCAGAAAGAGCAAAGTGCTAGAAAACAGAAGCAGTGTGCACTAGAATATCAGTATGAGTAATGTACTCATCCCACCACAGACTACAGTCAGTGACAGAGCTTTGCATCCTCCTATTCATCCTGTTGTTCATTAGGTAGTGACATTTTGTCAGTTACATATTTTCACTTACTGTTTATACATACCTAGAAAAAAGTATTTGCAAAACATTAGTTTACTTGCACAAAATAAGGAATTGTCTCTTCATGCTCACATTTTAAGTGAAATCATTTAAACTTTTCCTGATTTGGTTTGATGATTAAACTCAAAGGTAAGAATTTTCAAGAAGCACACTAGTTAGAACAGCACAGTTCTTACCAACACACTCTTTTAAAAGCTCCAAATCAAGACAGAACAGTCAAACAAGCTTCTCTCTCTTCTATCAGTATTTTTTAAAAAAACAACAAATGGGACAATATTTATTTTATTTAATTTTCAGGTAGGGTATGCCAGTCAAAGCGAGCAAATTTTTAAATCATGATTACCTAGTAGGAAATTACTAAATTTCACAAGCTGGAGATGGGGGGGAGGGAGACACATGACAACTACCATACTACCTTAACTGTGCCAGACAACTGGATTTTCCCTAGCCAGAGCTCAACAATCATGTAATAAAATCCGATTATTTTGCAGCTCTGAACTCTTCATTTGCCATCATGCTGCTAAGCTCAGCTACTGTGCCCCAGACATATGACCACTTTTTCCAAACTTGTCTTAATACAAAATACCCAATATCTGACTCATTATTATTGAAATACAGGATACAACAGGATAGAAACAGTCAATCTCCTCAAATTTCAGAACTTGATTAGCTCACATAACCATGTTTAACACCACCACCACAAAACACTCTCTGCCCTGAAATGAACCTTCACCTGCCTCACATTACTAGAGATCCAACAAACATTCCTATTAGTATGCAGCATTCACTTTTAGTCTATTTTTAAATATTGAACAAAAATAATTTAGCAGCCACAAATAAATTTCCTTAAGAAACATCCTTTAAATAATTCCAGTTGTTCTTACCCTTTTTCCAAAAACTAAAAAGGGTTTTCTAGTCTTCCATAGATATGTGTAGTTCTCTCCCTTATTGCATGACTTAATGAAAAATAGCAGAAAATAAAAGGGAAAAATTGAAAAATTAGCAAAAGAATTTTCAGTTTCAAGAAATACCCAAGTTCTCAGGTTTTGAGGTTTTTTTTTCCAGTTTGTAAGTATCTAAGACAACTGTGATAGTTGTACACATATTTGGAATCAATAAATTCTGCCTTGCAAAAAGGTTGTCTGCAACAGTTCTGGTTTTCCTACACTGCAAAGTCTTCCCAAAGCACAGCAAGAATGTTTTCAGTCACCAGGTATGGTAGTTTATTCTTTTAGAAATTGCAAATATATAGCAGTTTTATTCTTCTGGTAGAAAAACAAATGTATACTCTTAGCTATACCTTTGTCATACATGGCCACATGCTAAAAATCTAACCCAGTCATGTCACACCTACTCCCCTAAAAATGGCAAGCTACCAAGAACTTTCCTTCACAGTGGCAACTAAAAACTTAACATGATTAAGCACATAAGTCTTTATAGTCTTTATACACCCACATGAGCAGTTATAGCATGCAATAATAGTTGAAATTTTTTTGCATGTACATCACACAATCCTTTGCAAAGCTACACTGCACTGCATTAGTAAGTATTTCTTGCACGAAAGATCCATATTATATGGCACAGTATTTTAATCAGATCAAAACAAGCAGGTACATACTGATCTTCTGTTCCAAAAAACTTCACAAAGAAGCACTTTTTTCCACGAGGTTTCTTCAGATCTTTAGGTGGATTAACAATCTGAAGGTGATTAGAAATGAAAGTTAAAAAGCACACCATGAAAATCTTTACTCTGTGATTTTACTGTCATATGTTACAGCTATTATATATTTTTTTAATCTGACTAGAAAGAGAACTTGAATCTGTTACAAGTCTTTCAAGTAAATATGTAACCCATTTATTTCCTTAGATACGAGTATGCTGCAGCAGAGTGAAAAAGTACCCAAACTCCACTGATAACTTAAGAACACAGTGATGTTTCTTCTCCCTATGCCCAGTAGATAAGCTAGCAAACTTTTTAAAAATTTAGGAAGCCAAAGGGCATTAAAGCCTGTTCCAGTTAGGAAACTTTTAAAATTTAAATTTAAAGCTTTGTCTTTACTTCCGGAAAAGACTGCTTATAAAGTTTAAAATATTAGTAAAGAGAAAAGCTGTCATTCAGTTACACAGGTAACACCTGAAAGACTGTAGGGGAGCCTGGACTTAATTTGATCCAATAACCAAACATTTATGGTTGTCAGCCTGACAACATTCTTCCCTGTTGCATGCTGTTATCTCAGCATGCATGTTTAGTCCACATACCTACACCAAAAATAAAATCAAGTACTTTCAGAGAAGTAGAAATAATAAAAATGGCACATGTAATTAATTTTTTTTTTTTTTTAAAACCTTTCTGGCCTTTCATCAGAAAAGATATAACCAAACCAGAAAGTTTAACTACTCCCTACCCCCAGAATTATTACTTACAGAATTCTACAGTATCTTGAGAAGCCAGACTCTTTATTTCTATTATTTAACACAGCGCATTTAACCAGTTCACTCTGGGAAAGAAACAAACCTGTCTTGCAGAAAGTGATATGGATTAAATAAACAAATCTGGAAAACACAATCAGTTCCAGAGCTGGATGAACTGCTCTCTGTTGCTTTACATTCCATCTGAACTAACAGTTGTTAGTGAACTTCTAGATCAAATAAAGCCCTAAACTGGTTCACAGTTTAGATCTGTGGGCTACGTATTTATAAAAAAACCCCAACAAACAAAACAAACAAAGAAAAACCCCAATATTAATCTTCAACTGAAATGCTTTCAGGCAAAGCTTTCTCTGTGCAGAAGAAAAAAGCAAAACAAAACAAAAAACACAACAAAAAAATCCCAACCAGAAACTAAGAAGGCAACAAGAAGCAAAAAAAAAAAAACAAAAACAAACACCACCAAACCTCACCTTTCCTGGCCATGGAGGATACCGGCCCAGCTTCCCCCTAGAGAAAAAAAGAAAGAATTAGGCACTGGAACCAGAGAATAAACAACTACCCCATGTCTAAGTTTTTGCATTACATCATATTTTTCATATTAAGAGAGTTACAACTTACAGTCAAAACATACTGTGAAAAGCAAGACATGCAGTTGACACACAAGCATTATTTTTAGATACCTGCACCTAAACTAAGCCTCTAAACAGTCTGCATAAACTCACTGGGCTATCAGAACTTAAGCTGCTGCCTGGGAGATACAGTGCTATAGTGCTTATTACTCTTGCGAGACTTGGTATTCCCTCACAAAGAACTGAAAAAAGTATTGATGCAGGCAATCAATCCAAAATTCAGGTTGGTAACATATCCACCTGGACAGAACAGTCTAGTGAGCAGGGCAGCCACCGATTTCCAGCTCACAGAACTGAGACTGTTAGAGGTTCTCACAGGAAAGCATTAACGCCAGGATTCCCTGAACAGGTGTTCCATTATCACCTTCTTCAGGTGCTCACCACTACACTAAGCCATGCTAAAGATATAAAAGAGCCATAAGAAAAGCAGAAAAGTTTATTTCCTACACTTGCATCTGTTTCCATTACAAAAACTGCACAAAACTATTTCTTCACAGAGGAGGAAGAGACATTACTACCCTTAGCCTTCAATATGGTGGCTTTATCATTATCTTACCCTTGTCATTTACTTGGGCCTACAGTACTCTCACAAAACCTTATTAATCATTGTCTTGCAAGAGACTATCAAAGAACCTGTGGAGCCTGCAGGCTTTGAACCAAACATTCTCAACAAGTGGCTCCCGAGATGGCAAGGTTACACAGAGGATGGTCAGACAGGAACACTGCCAAGAGGTGTAACCGTACAGTCTCATATTTGATGCTTCCATTCTTGTCCTGAACAAGACATTCATCAAAGCCTTTTATATGTTACTGTCTTATTGTTACAGCTCTTCTGCAATGGCTTTAGGGATAGTACATGTCTAGGTTGTCATATAGACAACTAAAGCAGGATAATCTGCATTCCAACCCAGAGCAGCTCACTCACCAAATCCTCGTTTGAAAGAAAATTTGCTAAAAGGAACCAATCTTTATTTAACTATATAAATTAGACAACTTCACAGCACTGTCAATTTTTCAGAGAAGAAACTGCAGTTGTCACAGCCTGGAGCACACACTTCTTTTTATGTGGGATATAAAATATAAATGCATGCACTTGGGGATTAGCTATTTCTTGCAAGCTTAGCAGGACATCCTAGCCTATCAAGTACAGTAGAGTCTATGGACTTAAAAATCAGTCCTTACAGGGCTTGACAGAATCCTCTCAGTTCTCCTGATCAGAAAATACAAAGTCACAGCTCTCTGACTATTTAAGGGTAAAACCGACAAGGGGAAATGGCTTCTGGAAGCTTCAACAGGGACATCTTAACCTGCAAAAAGCCCTCTGTCTTCCCAGATTGTTTTGTCGCTTCGTTAAAGCAGGGTCAAGAAATGCTATCGTTGGCCTCCCTAAACCCCTACTCACTTATGTCCCTTCTCACCTCCCTTGGGAGGAGACCGTGTTTCCAACCGAGCCACGCAACGACCGCCCCTCTGTCCCGCTCCTCTCACCCCCCCTCCATCTTTCACTGGTTCTTTTATGCGCTGCCTCCTGTTAGCCTCAAGTGCCGGTCCGGCCAAAAGCGGGGCCTGCCTCCCCTCGGCCCACTCCAGCCCAGCCCCGTGGCACCAGACTGCCTCCCGCCGCCGCCGTCCCTCGGGGGCGGTGTGAGGAGGGGCGGGGGGCG